CAGAAGCCTTTGGAATCGATTTGAGGGAGAAGTCTGAATGTCAGCTGGAGAAGCAGCCCAAGAACACTGTAAACCAAGCTTGATGGGAGATTTTGGTCAGAGCTCAGACAACCAAAAGGCTAATGAAAAGACAGATGGTAAAGGCCAGGCTCAGGAAGTTTCATTTGGGAACAAGGACTCCAGGCCATGTATGTTATGCTCTAGAAGAAAATTTGTCTACATTTTGCCCATGCCTAAGACTTTGTAGAAGACTGAGATTAAGGGCAGCAGATTAATTAATCTGGTGGAGGAAATTTCAAGGCAGCCTAATGTTGAGACTGTGGCATGACTACTATTAGAGCTTTTAGCCAGTTCTATACTGAGAATCAAGAGCAAATGGCACCATTGAGTGATTTTAAAAGTTTTAGTTTCACCAGAAAGGAAGTTTCTACAGAGATGGGCCTGTAAAGTCGGAGCAGAGAAGAGCTTAGTTGCTGAAAAAATTAGTATTAAAAAGAAGCCAACTACAGTACTTTACCTCAGCACAGTACAAAGGATGCCTTGAGGGCATGGAATGATTCCAACAGATGCCACCTTTTGCAGACTCAAGGGTGGAAAAGTGAAACACTATGCTTTGAGAAGGAAATCCCAGAGTACCCTGCTTGAGAAAGGCCACCAAGGGAATTTGTTACCTGAGATTCGTTTCACAGTACTCAGCCATTCACGTACTTGGAAGCCTCTACAGTCATGATTCAAGGGGGTCTGGCTACTGCTGGAGCCAACGATGGATTATGCTGTCATCCACGTGGTACTGTTTTTATAGGCACACAGAATACAAGAGTTGTGAGCTCAGGGAGACTTCCACCAAGATTTCAGAAGATCTAGGAGTCCAGGAAGTGTGCCTCTGACAGGGCAAAGTGTGAAGCTGAGAGTGAAGCCAAAAGTATATTGGAGACCCCAGAAATTTAGATAAACCAGGAATATGGAATGTAAGAAAAAAGCCCACAAGAAGTGTGTAAAGCTAGCCTAAGAGAGAAGCCATTCAAGCTACAACCACCAGCAACACTGTAGGGACAGGGTCACCCAAGCCATTTGGAGTTTACATCAAGCCACAACTTGCCCCAGGTACTGGACATGGAACTACAGGATTTAATGTTTTCCCTGCTGTGTTTCAGTCTTGCTTTGGTCCAATTTCTTTCTCCTGTTCCCCCTTCCTCTCTTTCAAAAAAGAAACGTTTGGGCCAGGGATTTAGCTTAGTGGCTTCGCCACCTGCTGCACAAGCACAAGGACCCAAGTTCGATCCCTGGTACCAAAAAAAAAAAAGAAATGTTTATTTTGTGCCACTGTATATTGAAAGTGTTTAACTTTCTTTTGATTTTTACAGGGTTCACAGCTAAGAGTTTTCCTTAAGTCTCAAAGGGGTCTTTTGACTTGCACTTTTATTTGTTTGGGGGTTTTTTTTGGTTTTCTGTTTGTTTGGTTTTTTCCGTACCGGGATTGAATTTAGGACCTTGCGCTTTCAAGGCAGGTGAGGTGCCACTAAGCTAAATCCCTGGGCCTTGACTTGTACTTTTACCAATACTAGAACTGTTAAAACTCTAGCAACTCTTAGAGAGGAACTAAATGGATCTTGCATAAAAAGATGCACATGAGTCTTTTGGGGGTCAGAAGCAGAACGTTATGGTTTAAATCCAAAATGGCCCCTAAAGGTTGTGTTTGAAAGGTGATTAGGAATGGTATTGCGGGACTTCTGTTGGGAAGCAGGGTTTGGCCAGAGGAGAGAGATTTGGTCACTGGAGGCATGGTCTAAAAGGGTTTATCTCCCTCCCCAGCTACTCTTTTGTTACTCTGCTTCCTGTCTACCATATGGTGAGCTGCTTTCCTCTGCTCTGGCTCTTCCACCATGCCACTTCTGCCCTGAAGCCAGCCAACTACGGACTAAAACCTCTACAAACTGTGACGCAAAATAAATCTCTCCTTCTTTCAGTTGCAAATGTTGAGTATTTTGTCCTAGTGATGAGGAAAATGACTAAGACACTGTTCATCAAAAAAAAAAATCCTTCATCTAAAAGTTTTTATAAAAGATTAGAGCCAGGCATGGTGGTGTAGTGTAGGCCTATTAACTGGGAGGCTAAGGCAAGAGGATCACAAGTTCAAAGCCAGCCTGGCTAATTCAACAAGACTCTGTCTCAATATTTTAAAAGGGATGCAGATGTAGCTCAATGGCAGTTCACTCACCTAGCATGCACAATTACTTGGGTCCAATCCCCAGTACTGGAGGGGAAAAAAAAAAAAAGAAAAAAAAGGCCAGAAACATAACTTGCTGCTGTTTTCATTTTTTAAAACTGCAAATTCCAGAAGCTATTTAACATAATGGTATCATTAAAACTAGTCATGATTACTTCAGCACTGACATCAGCTAGTACCAATTCATAGGGAGTGTCCACAATACCCAAGGGTGCCCCTTCACTCATACTTGACACTATCTGAGACAATCAATGTCTGGAGTGTTAGTTACCCCACTACAAATGACTCCTCTAAGTCTCTAGATTGTCCATGTGGACACTCAGAACTGTCTCTCTCACTGGCAATCCCCCTCATAGGTTGATGACTCCAGCATATACATGAGCCAGGTGTATATCCAAAGAGCACCTCAAACTCAGTGTATACAAAATTAAACTTGTCTCAGCCCATCTCCCCCATGTTCCTGTATGTTAGTGGCACCACTCAATCAGCAAAATGGATCTAGTTTTCTTTCTCTCTTCACAGCCTTCCCTCTTCCAAAGAGTAAACCAGTTTCAAAGAAGCAACTGTCCATTTTACCTCTACAACACCACGCACCATCTATCCCAGTCTCCAGTCTCACTGCTTCTCTAAGGCTCTCATTACCACTATCCTGACCCACATCAACAGATTCCACCGAGCTGCCCACCATCTTTCACGCCCAAAGTGAGTCCACCTACTCTGAACATTATTGGCAGACTAAACTTGCTATGAATGCCCTTTCCCACCTTGTGGATACCATTGTCTACCATGGTGTCCCAGATTTTCAGACCCCGAAGGACTCCCCTGGGACCCAACCATTCACTTGATCTTGGAAGTGCTTCAAATTGAAAATCTTCTGGCCTCATCTTCAAGGCCATTTCTACTTTGGCTCCAACCTAAAAGCCTACAATTTCATGAAAACAAGAGTGAAGTGTGCCATTCCGCCACTCACGGGCTAAAGGTCAAACTGCTGGCAGATGTTTGGCCTGGCTGGCACCTCTCCACTCTTGCCAGCACACTTCCCTTAGTTCTCTCTGCTCCAGCCATCTGGCCTTCTCTCCAGCCTGTCATGATCCCATACATTCACCAACCTCTCAACACCCCACCACTCAGGTAGCAATACTATCTCAAATCATTTACTCAGTGACTAACCTTACACCCTTTCCAAACTAAGTCAAGTGCTGTGTACTCTGCTCTTAAATTCCATAGCCTTAATTTTTGTAAGCAAAATTGAATTCATAAATCAGAACATCCTAAGTCATAAGACCAGCCCACTACATACTGCTCCTAAAATCACTTAGTTTCTCCATCCAGAAAACTAAGAACTCATTTCCTCAATGTTCTCTGAGTTCCCTAGAAGATCAGACATTACCTGAGTGTATGGTTTTACCATTCTAAATCTCTCCCTCATAATTCTCTTCTACACAGGCACCAGTAAAACTTTACTTTCTGGTCTCCACAACTTTATATCCTTTCCCCCAGCTCCACATTTGCAAAACCTACGTAGCCTCAAATGCTCAAATCCAATGTTACCTTCCCCTTCAAGTTGTCCATGTGTCCCTCAGTCACCTCTTTACCCCTCAATATCCACAGGACCTCCAGTGCCTCATTCAGGTCTCAGATCGAATGGCACTTCAAATGAGTGGCTCCTTCTAAAGTCGCTGGATGCTTATAATTCTTCATCAGATCACCCCGTTTTATTTTATTGATAGCATTTACCATTATTTGAAATTGTCTTTTTCATTTTTTTCACTCATTTACTTGTCAACCGCCTGTCATCTCCATTAGGACATAAAATCTGTGAGAGCAGGAACCCTACCTGTCTTGTTCACATTTCCTCACTCTCTCACATCAGATGCTGAAGATATTTGGTAAATATCTGCCAAACACATGGATGACTCTAGTCCTTATGACTAGGGTTTTTGTGCACATATCTTCCTCTTGCTGTATTCCAAACTCCTTGTGGACAAGGCAAAGTCTGGCTAATCTATTGGTACGATCCAGAAATCCTTGCACAACTGAAACAGTAATAGATAACTGATAATAACTAATCTCTCTAAAAAGGTACTGCCCCAAACCAAGCCAACTCAAAACTTTGTATTGTCCAGAAATCAGGGAAAACAGGAATCTATCTCCTTTCATCCCCTCTCCAACAGCCCCTATTCGACTATGCACTACCAATGAGCTTCAAAAGGCTAGCTTCCTTACTTCCTGTTCACCAACAACCACTGATTCTTCTATCCCTAAAAATCTCACAATACTACCCTTTCCCCTTTATCTCCAGCCAACAAATAACTTCCAGGGCCCTGTTCTTCAAAAGACCCCCGTAACTCCTTCAGTCAGTCAGGGGAATTCACCATGCCCTGTGGCAAAGGGAGACGTTAAAAAGAAGTGCTTAAGAACCGGTTCACTCATTTTCCTTGATAATCTCGTTTAGGAAATAGACTCAGTTTAGGAGACTGACTTGGATACTGAGACCCTGAGCATTCTTCCAATCTAGCCCGCAGCACCTTTTGGGGTGCCCTCACTACTGCTGTGCACCTTTTCGCCTTCCACCACAGGAAGACACCCCCCCACCCCCCACCCCCGGCCAGAGACGATGATATCTCGGGAAGCAAATGCCATTAAACACAGTGGGGCCGCCCAACCCTACCCACTTTCCATCCAGCCTTCGCCTCTGGCCTGAAACGGTCTCGAGTGCCCCTCAGCCCCAGGCTCCAGCTGGGTCCGACCCTCCAACACCACCCCCGCTCACCTGAAGCGGCCCCCGCAGTGCTGGCATTGCTCGCCCACCCAGCCGGTGGGGCAGACGCACAGGCCGGTACCAGGGTTGCAGCGACCGCCGTTGACACAAGGCCGGTCACATTCCTTCGCCTCAGCTGCGGCTGAGCTCGACACCGCCGCCGCCGCAGCAGCGGCCTCGGCCTCCCAGGGCAGCAGCAGGAGCAGCGGCGGGAGCAGCAGCAGAAGCCGCCAAGGTGGCAGCGACGGCGACAGCCGCCGCGGGGGACGCAGCCCGGCCCCTAGCCCCGGCCTCCCAGTCCCAGTCACGTCCCAGTCTCGGTGCTGCCCGCCCTTCCTGCCCGCGGGTGCTGCAGTCTTCGCCGTCCTCCTCAGCCTCGCCTCAGTCGCCGCCGCCGCAGCCACCATCTTCCCGGGGCTGAGACGGGGCCCGGCGAACACATACACTCACACACAGCACGGCCGGCTCCGCTTCGCCTGGCTGTACGGGGCGGGGCTGTGCTGACGGTGGCCCTTGCGGCCAATCCTGAGGGCGGAGCCAGAGCTGCGCTGTGGGCGGGGCTGGCGCGCCTGCGTGGGCGGAGCGCGGAGAGCTGAGACTGGGGTCCTCCAGACCGCTAGGTGAAGAGGGCGTTTCTATCTTTGATTTTAGGGTTTGTTGACCCCTTAGCTGTTGCAACCAAGGAACCCTGGCGCTCTAGTTTTCGCACTAAGTGGAGGCTGCGAGGCAGCCGTCCCAAAGTACTCGGCTTCTGTTGACCTCCAGGAGTTGGCTATTGTGCTAGCCAAGACGACCGCGTTGAATATTGCCTGCCTGGACACCCCCAGCCCACCAGCCCCAACTTCAGCTGCGGGGCAGAAACAGCCTAAAGACTTGCGGTATGGGGCCAGAGGCGATCCTGAAGAGTGATGCATTCTAGCCTCTGAAATAGGGATAAAGAAATAACACCTGTGTTATTTCATATCAGTAAATGTCTAGCAGACTGAAGACACACACAGCCAGGCCTTCCTTGATAACAGGCTGATCTGGTTGCAGATCAGATGGACCCTCCACCTTTAATTCTGTGGGATAACTTTTGGGATTACCTTGGGTCCCACTATTTGCCCTCCAACCATATTCTCTGAAGAGAAGGTCTAGAATTGGGAACTAGAACACCTTCAGCCTGCACAAGTCGGATCCCAGAGCCTTTCTTGTTAAATTTCAGTGCCTCCATTGAAACATGCCTTTCAGTGGTATAATTTTGTATGGTTCTCAACCCAGGAATCTGGACTGGGATGGAGACTCCATTTAACCAGTAGAAGAAGGTGGTGGAAATGACAGTTTCAAATCTGAGATTTTTTTAAAAAGACCTGGCAGTCTTGATTTTGAGTTTTTGGCAGTCCTGAGCTGCTCCTGTTCTTCTACCCTCCTGAAAAGAAACCTTATGTGGAGATCACATGGAGAGGGAGAGGCCTGGGCACATGAAACTGGTGGATGCACCCTAGCTGAGATTTCACTGAAGCCATCTGTGTTGTTTCACATTACCTAGAACAGAGACGAGCCTTTCCTACTATGCCTTATTCAGAAACCCAAGAAATGATAAACTCACTACTGTTTTAAGTCTCTACATTTTAGAGAGCTTTGTTACTCAGCAATGGATAATCAACATTGTCTCACCTAATCCTTGTGCTGTGAGGAATATTTCTTGGGCACCTAGCAGACCTTGGGAAATGTCCTTCATATACCTGTAGAATCTCTCAAATTCACCTCCGAGCACAGAATTCAAAGATGTTAGGATGGACCCCCACACTCATACCCAGATGCCATGCAGGTGCTGAGATAGACCCACAAACACGTAATCAGGTTCTACTCTCATACTCAGGGCCTGACTCGCCTCACTCAGCATGCCCTTCAAGCCTGGCAATGCTGAACTGCCTAACAGCCTCACCACAGCCTTTCACCCACACATCCTTCCCATTCCCACAGGAATCCTATTGTCTGACCTAGGCGCTAGTGCTACACCAGCATTTGGTTTGCAGGTTGGGTTTTTGCTGCAGTGTCCTACAAGGGGCTGTGTAGGATGAAGTAGGAAAATAGAAAACATAGCCCTACCCTCAAGCAGGCTCTAATCAGACAGGAGCAGCTAACAAGAACAATACCTAGCTGTGGAAAATACTCTTCTCTCTACTCTTCCAGGCCAGAAGTGGAACCAGGGGTTGAAGGGGGAGGGGCAGGGGAAGGGGGAAAAAATAAGAACCAAGAGAGATTATGTAAAGGTGCAAATTTCCAATGATGAATGTCATTATATTGTAGACCTAAAATGTACCAATTTATAAAAACGTGGAACCAGCTCTTTCCTTCCCTCCTCACTGCAAATCTGAGCCCAGGCTGTGATGTTTCACATGATTTTACATGTTGTCACATGTTGGGACAACAGAAAGGATTTGCACCCACAAGGCAGCAATCCCTGCACAGTACTACATATGGCTGCTCTCTGAAACCCAAGAACTTTTCAGCAGCAAACATTCTCTTCCTAGGACCAGGGATTTAGCTCAGTGGTTCCACCACCTGTCCTGCAAGTGCAAGGACCCGAGTTTGATCCCTGGTACCAAAAAGAAAAAATTCTCTTCCTTACCACTTTAACACATTCACAATGGGGCCGTAATTCATATGTCTTGCTGCTCTGAGGTGACAACAGTCATGACAGGCATGTACCACAGCAGTTCAAGCCAGCAGGAATGTATTAATGTATTCCCTTTTCTGGCTCTTTTTCCCTAGTCTCCAGACGTACTGAACTTATCTTGTTCTTAACAAAACAAATGAACAAAATGTTACCTGTGAAAGAGAAGTGGTGCTAGCCTTTAGTAATCAAGAGTCCCCTTTATTTTCTACTTCTGTGTGGTGGACTAATGAGAGCTGCACAGCCTCTACATTACTTCCATGCAGAAAGGGGACCTAATCCCCCCTCCACTCCTTGAATCTAGGCTGACCTTACTGATTTGCTTGACCAGTTGACTATGGTGGAAGTGACATGCTCAGACTTTTGAGGCTAGGTCATGGAAGGCCTGTGTTTTCTTTTTAAGTGTCAGAATACTTGGTCTGGGGAATGCCAGCTACAGTAAAAGCAGTCCAGCTACTCTGAGACTGCCATAGGAAGGAAGTCAGCTTCCAGCTTTTCCAGCCCCCAGCCATGCAGGTCATCCCAACTGAAGTCCCATACAATTGTGAAGCAGAAAGAGGGGTAATCCCTGCTGAAAACACCCCAAGTTGCAGACACATGAGCAAAATAAGTGAATGTACTTGTTTAAGCCACTTTTTTAGGATGGTTGGTTACACAATAGATTACTAGAATATCTATAACCTGCTCCTATCAGGACAAAAAGAAGTAGTGTACGTTATTTTGAATTGATCAAGATGAACAGCATAATCATATATAAGTATCTAATATATATAGCTAGTCATCTACATATCATACACAGTGGGTTCTGTTAATATTATCCAGTCACACATCATAGAAGGTCCACCATAACTCTGGAAGAACATCTGTTTTATTCCACATATCTTATCACCAAGGTTTTGTGACTGTTCTACCTGAAATCCCATGCCACCTTTTTCTTTTTTTTTTTTTTCTTTCTAAGTTCTTTTATTGGTACATTTTAGGTATACAATTCATTTACATTTATCATTGGGTGTTTGTACCTGTACATGATGTATCTTGGTTCTTATTGTTTCCCCATTACCTGTGCACCCTTCACCCCGCCCTCCCTTCCCTATTTACACACACATCATTTACATTTTTTTTCTTTTCTCATAGATTTTCCCTTTCCCTCCTTTCCTTTCCCAATCCCCTCCCTTCACCCCTTCGTCTTTGGACCTTTTTTCCTATTTCAAATTGTCAATTATTCATTTTAATCATTTTAACTCTTGTTTACACTATCAGTTTCTCACACTAGTGAAACTATTCGGTATTTACACATCTGTGTCCTGTTTATTTCACTTAAGAGTATGGTCTCTGTATGCATCCATTTAGCTATAAATGACTCTAGTTTTTCATTCTTTATAGCTGAGTAGTACTCCATTTTCTAAAAAAACCACATCTTCTTTATCAAGTTTCCACTTGATGGGCACTTGGGCTGCTTCCAAGCTTTAGCTATTACAAACTGTGCCACTATGAACATGGGTGCACATATATCGCTGTGGTATGATTCTTTTCATTCTTTGGGAAGATGCCCAGCAGGGGAATAGCTGGGTCAAAAGGGACCTCTAGTCCTAGTTCTTTTAGGTATCTCCATACTAATTTCCACAGTGGTCGCACCAGTCTACACTCCCACCAGCAATGGAGAAGGGTTCCTCTTTCCCCACACCCCAGCCAGCATTTGTTATTGATTAATTTCTTGATAGCAGCCATTCTTTCTGGGGTGAGGTGGAATCTCAGGGTTGTTTTCATCTGCATCTCTCAAATGACCAGTGATGTTGAACATTTTTTCATATATTTGTTTGCTGCTTTTACTTCTTTGTCTGAGAAATGTCTGTTCATTTCAGATGCCCATTTTTGAATTGGGTCTTTGAATTTGGGGGGGTCTGATTTTTTTCAGTTCTTTGTATATTCTAGATAATAGTCCTTTGTCTGAGGTACAGCTGCTAAAAATTTTTTCCCACATTGTAGGTTGTCTGTTAGCTCTGTTGGTGGTTTCTTTTGCAGTGCAGAAGCTTTTTAATAAGATGAGGTCCCAGTTGTTGATTCTTTCTGTTCTCATGCTACTGAGGTTTTGTTCATGAAGTCTTTTCCTATGCCAATGTCTTCAAGAGTTCTAACTAACTTATCTTCCAGCAGGCTTAGTGTTTCTGTTTTAATATTTAGATCTTTAATCCATTTCGATCTTAGTTTAGTGCATGGTGATAGATATGGGTCTACTTTTAATCTTTGACAGGCTGAAATCCAGTTTTTCCAACACCATTTATTAAATAGGCTATCTTTCCTCCAATGATGGTAGTTGGCTCCTTTGTCAAAGATGAGGTGGCTGAGTATGTTTGGAGTTCCATGCCACCTTTTCCTCCACTAGTGCTTATCACAGTGGCCATTTCCAGGTCCCAGAAACTTGAATGCCAATGCCAAAAAATCAAAACAAAATAAACAAAACACCCCAGCTTTTGCTCTGGAATAATTCTAAGTCCAGTCTCTAAATAACAAAGTCCTCACCAGTGACCTATTAAAGGGGGTTTGCATCCACTTAGATGGTTTGCAGGTGCCTCCGACTGGTGGTAGTGTCTCACTCAAGAGAAGTAACACTCTGTATGGCCCTTTTCCTCTCTGATTGCACATCATCACTTTCTGTATCTTTGCTGAATTGTCTCCAGGTCATGGACATGGATGGATTTTTAAATGTTTGGCTTTAACTCATGAGATATCTTAGGTCATTGCAATGGCTTCAATATGGTCCATCCCACCAAAATTCATGTTGATGCTTGACTACTAGAGTGGCAATTTTGGCAGGTGGGACCCAGTAGATGTTTGGGTCTTAGGTATTGAGCC